AAAACGGAAATGAGGGTTTAAAGTACAGAATTTATGGTGTCACAGTTCTGGTTACTAAATCCTAAATCATTATTTGGCCTTGGATGATGTCTTTCATTATCTCTTTCTCTGCTAGTAGTTAGTGATTCTTGGAGTTTAGGGCTTGTAGATTCATTTGTCTTTCTTACTTCAGATAACGTCTCTCTTGCCTCTGCGTTCTCACTCTTTATTTCAAATATTGCTTTTGAATTAGAAACTATTATATTCAAGATCCACCCTACCATGTGATTACTCAAGTGACTCATTATATTATGTTACGTTGGGAAACTCTGCTGTCATGGACCTCTCCAGAGTGCTGAAGAGCAACGATGTCAGTCTAGATACAAAGGTGCGCCTAATCCAGGCCATGGTCTTCTCAATTACTTGTTACGTTTCAGAGAGTTGGACAATGACTAAGGATGACAGAAGAAGAATCAATGCCTTCAAGTTGTGGTGCTGGAGAAGAGTCTTGAACAAACCATTGACTGCCAAGAAAACAAGTCAGTCTGTCTCGGAGAGGGTGAAACCAAGTCTGTCCTTGAAGGCTAAGATTTTGAAGCTCCGCCTCACTTACTTTGGGCATGTGGCCAGGAGAGACTGGTCCTTGGAGAAGGACATCATACTCAGAAGGGTGAATGAACAGCGCAGGAAGACCCTGGATGAGATGGATTGATGCAGTGACTGGGGCAATGTGGGTTGGTTTGTCAGAGTTAGTGAGACTGGTTTAGGACAGGGAAGGGTTCAGAGCTGCTTGGTGTACACAGGGTCACTATGCATCACAGGTGACTCAATGGCACATAACAACAATAGAATACTGTGACAGATTTGGAAGCAGGAGTGGCATCCACTTCCTAAACCACATGCCTCTGAAAACTCTATGAACTTTGATAAATATTGCTAGTTGTAGTGGGGCTTCAGGCCTCTTGTTCATGGGGTCACTTCGAGTTGTGCTTGACTGAAGGGCAATCATCAACAACAACAACAATACAATGGCATTATGGAAGGAAATTACCTCTAATATAGATCAAGAGATTTATTTTAATGATTAATAATAACATATGGTATTAATTTTAATTCAAGATAGGGGATAGACAAAGAAAAGATTCAATGCAGACTTGTGGCCTCAACATGACTAGAATAAAAAAAATGTATATATATCTTTATTTTTCTGATTTATGTGAATACACAAGACAGGATTAAAAAAAATATTATTAATGTCAATGAAAATTTACAGAGACTATGGATTTCTATTCATTCATTGTTGCCCTTTTCCCCCCTCCTAACCCTCCCCCCAGTACACTACTCTCTTCTTCGCCTGTGGAAACAGCATCTACTCCTGCCTACCAACCAGTAGGATGGAAACATGCACACTAACTAGCCAATCTGCTTCCCCCTGTTTCATTCACAACCAATTCTGAATTAATACCTATAAGCCGAAGAGGTAACTCGTGGTTGCTGTGACACTGAAGACTGTGACAGTGATGTGCCAGTCGTGGTAATGGGTACCCATGGTGGACAGTGTTGGCTGGAGCTTCCCAACTAAAACAAGCCTGGAAGCAGGAGCGGCATCCACTTCCTAAATGGCTTGCCTCCAGAAACTCTATGTACGAACAGTGCCGTTGGTTCATAGGGTCGCTGTGAGTCGTCTATGACTCGACAACACCAAACAACAACAACCCCTAACCCAAAACCTTAGACACAGATGGACAATTGTGGGACCCCTCCTTTTAGTGTCTGGACTAGAAATGATAAAAAAAGTGGCCACAGGCACTACAAGCCTGGGAGTCTCCTTAGAAAAATTCCATCATCTCTTAAAAACTCTCCATAAGCCACTAGACGATATTGCAACTCAGCATACTGCAGTGTAAGACCAGGGATTCCCCCTTGGCTACCCTTTCTACTCATTTTCTTAAGAACTCTTGCTCCCTGTTTCATAAATCTTTTCCAGAAATTTTTAATAGACGGCCTCACTGCCATCTCCCGAGCAATTGCCCAAGAACACCTGAAAGCAATGCTCCTCCTTCAGACCTTACAGGAAAACAACATCAGCCCCAATATCCCCAGTTCGGCAGGAAGCAGCCAGAGATAACATCATCCCTATTCATTATATTCCTTTAGGGTCTGGAATGAATGAAGAATATGGCAGTTGCCCCACCACCCGCAAGCTTGACCACTTCCTGAGAAACTTAATAACACCTCAGCTGGTCACAACAAAGACCAGACCAGACAATGGATTCTGATAAGAGTCTGAGCTTGAGAAAACAACAAAAAAGCTGAAACCTAACTAAATTAACACGCCAAATTCCAAGAAGTACCATCTTAGTCCTCCCCAGGTCCCCTGTAAAAAGGAAACTCCCCAAACTGCTCTTGGGCCATTTGGATGCTTTCTGCATGCCATGCTGCTGGGTCACTTGGTGTCCCTCTCTGGCCATGCAATTAAGGCCTGCTTGGTTCTTGGGACCAATTCCTTTCTTTATTTCTCTCCCTTGCGTCCTTGCACTCTTTTTTTTTTTATCTACACCTAAAATAGTAAACATTTTCATATAGTTTCACATTGTTCTCTGTTCATTGAGAGCAACAGAAAAAGGAGAGTTAGAAATAAGAGGAAGATGGGAAACATGGGATAAATTGTCTTCATGAACAACTGTCACCTTTGTCAGAAGACTTGAAGAACTGCATGGTCCTGAGCTACCATTACTAAACATTTTGACCAAGTATTCTATTAAAGAATCCTAATCAAAAGGGAGGGAGTTCTGGTGGCGTAGGTTTTGTTTTGTTTTGTATCTTTTATGAAAATCAAGAGGGGAAAATGGAAAACAGATTCAAAATTCAAATTCTCATGCACTGCTTATTTTCTGGAGTTGGAGGGGCTGAATGATTTCCTAAACCTACTACTTACAGGAAGCCAAGACTAAATATTTGTGATCAACCTAGTGCTATTTCAGGATGGAATTCACCCTGAGGCACCAAGGTAATCCTTAAGGGTTTACCAGATTCTTGTATTGTATTTGCTGACCCCCTCCTTCCTAAATCAAGGGGAAGGTTTTCAATAGAAAGAATTTGGCTTCATTTGCATTGAATTCTCTTTGTGATTTACTTCCTGATAATTTTTAATAAAGATACAGAGAAGCTGAAATGGGGCTCCTCAGTAGATGAAACTGCTGGCCCCCTGTCTTTAATCTCTCTGTTTTCTCTCATTCCTGTCTGTCTTTCTCCTTATTAATAATTATAAAAATACTTGTCTAAACTACCCTGTGGTAATATTAAAATTTTTCAAAATATTCTCTGAAGTCTTCCTAAAACAGAACATAATTTTGCAAAATACCTACTTTGAGCTTAGTGCTCTTTCTGGCACAAATCAATCTGTTCAGGGTCAAACTGGCAAGCAACAGAAACTCAAAGGATTACATAACAAATTTAGTTGGCAGTGATTTTTATGCTAATGGGAGAACAACTCCAACAAGGAGAATAAAAATTGTTAAACAACTCAGTATCATCAATATCTCCAAACTGTGCATTTAGGCATTGTTGAGCTGATATGTGTTTTGCTGTGCATAATCTCAGCAACAAGAACAACAATTAAAAAGGTGTTATTTTAGAGGAAAAAGAGTTAATACCAGTGTCCAAGCCTGTTGTTAAATGTAGCTTCTGAAGAGGAAAAAGAGTTAATACCAGTGTCCAAGCCTGTTGTTAAATGTAGCTTCTGAAGAGGAAAAAGAGTTAATACCAGTGTCCAAGCCTGTTGTTAAATGTAGCTTCTGATGTGGAGCAGAAGGAAATACTGCCAAGACTTTCCCCATCCTCATAAGCGCTGGCACGCTGGAGCCTATTGTTGCAGATTCATTTATCTTCCATTCCAAAGTAGGATGTTCAATCAAAATTCAAGAATTATCAATTCTTGCTGAAGGTAATTACAAAATGGGCACCTTATCTAGAAAAGGGGGTGACATAAATTAAAGCTGAATTTACAGGAGGACATCTAATGAAGTGTGTCATTACTAACATTAAATGGATCTTGTCTGAAAGCAAAGAGTATCACAAAGAATAATTGTTTTATTGACTGTGAAAAGGCATATGCATCCAACTCTGTGTCTGTTAAATGAAAATCTTAAGACTAAGGTTTCAGTGATTGATGATCTGACCCACAGACTGTCCCTGGCCTAGTATTGACTGTCAATATTGAGTTTCTCCAACAACTTCTACCACAAATGTAGTCAATCTGGTTCCTATGCAGCCCAATCAGGTGAGCTCCACCTATAAAGTCGCTGTGGCTTTAAAAGAAAGTATTAAACATGAAGAAATTGTAAATACACAATTTGATCATTCTAATCCCAGACTCATTTCTATTACCAAGCCCATGACACAACCTTGCTTGCAGAAAGTGAGGAGGACTTGAAGCACTAGTTGCAGGAAATCAAGATTTTTTTTTTTTGGTATAGATTGCTTCTCAATGTCAAGAAAACAAAGATCCTTACCACTGTACCGATAAGCAGTATCATGACGGATGGAGATTGAAACTGTCAACACCTTCATCTTGCTTGGACCCACAATTAACATCCTTGGTACCAGCAGTCAGTAAATAAGGAGATGTATTATTGCACTGGGAACATCTGCAGTTAGGGGCCTCTCCAAATGATTGATGAGTAATGATGTCAGTTTGAGGACTAAGGTGCATCTGATACAGGTCATGTTGTTGTTAAGATGATATGCATCTGAGAGCTGGACAATAAAATAAGGATGGCAGACAAAGAATTGACACCTTTGCTCTATGGTTTTGGTGAACAGCACTGAACATCCTATGAATGGCCAAACATATATGTCTTGGAGAGGCTGCAGCCAGAGTGCTCTTTGGAGGCAAGAATGATGAGGTTTTGCCTCATATACTTTGGGCACATTTTTAGGAGGGACTATTCCTTGGAGAAGGACATGATGCTGAGAAGGGTGGAAGGTCGGCAAAGGAGATTGACATGGTGACTGCTGCAATGGATCCTTGTGTGTCAGAAAGTGTGAGGAGTCATACTCTACTCATTGGCACTTAACAACAAGGGGGTCTTAGTAGGAAATGAAGATTTCAAAACAAATTGACCCTGACCTTTAAGATAAGGGGTTCTTTAACCGCACTCATGATAATCCTGTATATTAAAAAGTTTAACTGCTCAGTAAGGTTTTCTTGTCTATGATCTTTACAGGACTCTTCTCATGAGAAGCTACTGGGTGAGTTCAAACAACCAAACTTTATGTTAATAGCAGATTGCAAAATGCCCTTGGGACAAAAAAATAAATAGACTTTAATTTTCTCTTATCTTTGAGTCAAAGTCCGCCCAAAAGAGAGTATAAACAATTTAAGTAATGGGTCACTCTTTTCATCAAATTCGTAGTTGCCAGAATAAGAAGAGAAGGCTTCAATGGATCTAGTCGTGGTCCTGGTGGTCTGTGCTCTCTGCTTGCTTTTCATTTCACTCTGGAAGCAGAGCCATGGGAAAGGGAAACTCCCACCAGGGCCCACTCCTCTCCCAATTATTGGAAATAGCCTACAGATCAATTTTAAGAACATCAACAAATCTTTAAGCAGTGTAAGTATACTGTATTCTTCTCCAATAGCATGCATAGGGAAATTAAATAGTTCCTAATTTTGAGTAAAATTTATTTCATGAGATGTATTTGTTGTTTTTGCTGTGATATGACTTGGAGTCAGAACCAAGTCATAGCTGACCAAGTCATAGAGGGTCTCCAGAGGCTGTGAATTGAATAGGAGATGTCCCATCTTTCTCCTTTAGAACTGTTGGTAGATTTGAATCACCTTCTTTTGAGTTGGCAGAGCAACTCTTCACTATTAGTCTATCAGAGATATAGTACTGATAAATTACAAATCTATCATTTTAGAAATAGAAAAATGAAGTAATATGTTTTGAGAGAGGATAAATTAAAATTTGTATTAGTATTTCAAATGATTTCTATTTGATAATTCTAAAGTACTAAGAATTGATGCCTTTGAGTTGTGGTGCTGGAGAAGAGTCTTGAACATACCATGGACTGCCAAGTAAACAAATAAATCTGCCTTGGGGAGGGTGAAACCAAGTTTCTTCTTGAAGGCTAGGATTTTGAAGCTCCGTCTCACATACTTTGCACACGTGGCCAGGAGGGACTAGTCCCTGGAGAAGGACATGATGTTTGGAAGGGTAGAGGGCTAGTGCAGGAGAAGGAGACCCCAGAAGAGATGACTGACATAGTAACTGGGACAATGGGGAGTAAGTGGGTCAGAGTCAGAGAAACAAGCTCAGAATAGGGCAGGTTTCAGAGCTATTGTCACAGGGTAGCTATGAGTCAAAGGCAACTCGACTGTACATAATGACAACAATGTTTAATAGTAATTATCATAATATTTATCTTAATGACCTTAATAGATCATTGTAAGATACAAACACATTGGTGCTATGGGGAAGTATTATCAGGTAACTATTACTTGAAGCAACACTGTGAACATTGAATTTGAACATTGTTCTATTGTGCACCATACTCTCCATGAGCCCACTGTTACAGTCATTGTGTCAATCTATCTTGTTAGAAGCAAATTAGTAAGAATTAATATGGTAATGATAAGGGAGAAGAAAATAGTATGACTGGGTTCCTTTGTTGCTTTAAAATAGTTTGTTGACATTTGGTTGATATTAGATGATGTTGCAAGAGTTTTGTGAATAGAAATTTGATTGTATATGTTGTTTTACTGTATAAACAACAAATTTTGCTCAGATTATACAAGAACATTAATTTATCTACCAAAGCAAATGGTGTGTAATGTCAAGGGAACTATGAATAAAAGACACAGTAAGCAGGGGTTCCCTGCTGGGAAGTGTGTGGTGAGATCATCCTGGGCCTTCAGGATAGTGTCTCAGGATGGAAGAAATGGTTCCGTCTTAAAATGCTGCCTGTTTTGGTACAGGCTCAGTGGCGCCACTCTCTTTGTTAGCAGTACCTATAGTTTTGAACCTGGATTTGCTTGTAACAATACTGAGTCGTTTTTTAAAGCCAACACCCGTGGCACCAGCAATCAACAAACCAAAAGACAAGTTACTTTAGGAAAATCTACTGTCAGGGACCTCTCAAGAGTGATAAAGAGCAATGATGTCAGTCTAGAGGCTAAGGTGTGTCTAATCCAGGCCATGGTCTTCTCAATTACTTGTTATGTATCAGAGAGCTGGATAGTAAGTAAGGATGACAGAAGAATCTATGCTTATACATTGTGGTGCTGGAGAAGAGTACTGAGCATTCCATGGACAAACAAACAAACAAAAAGATATGTCTTCTTCAATCTATCAACCAAATATATTCAAGACTGACTGCAGAATGGAAAACACTCTTTTATATTAACTTTCAAAATGAAATAAAACATCTCAAATAAAAAAAAATAGATTTGTCTTGGGGGAAATGCAACCACCATGATTCTTGGAGGCAGGGACGATGAAGCTCTATGTCTCATACTTTGGGCAGGTTACTTGGCGAGATTGTTTCTTGGAAAGGGCCATCATGCTTGGAAAGGTGGAGGGTCAGCATCAGAGAGGAAATCCCTCAATGAGATGGATTGTCACAGTGACTACAGCAGTGGGCTCAAGTGTCACAGAGATGATGAAGACGGTACTGAATAGGGCAGAATAAAGGTCTCTTGTTCATGGGGTCACTATGAGTCATACTTGACAGCACCTACCAACAACATTTGGTAACAAGTATTAAAAAAATGTTCAAACAACATTGTAAGTATTTTTTTGAAATCATCAGTTACATATTTGTTGTTGCTGTTGTATATAGCTGAAACAGAAGCTATTCATAACTGACCCACTAGCAGGGTTTCAGAGGGAGCAAATCACGTGAGAGGAGACGGCCCATTCTCTTGCCAAGCAGCTGGTGGATTTGAACTGCATGACTTTGGGATTGCAGCACAGCTTCCATCGAAGTTCCCTTATAAACAATACAATTTATATATTTTAGGAGTTCTAAGCTAAAAGTTAAAATTATGATTGGCTTCAATGATACTGCTTTATACTTAGAAATTTTCTGCTCTCTCTCTCTCTCTCTCTGTGTTGTGTGTGTAAAGTTCTGACTTTCACATTATTTTTAAGAAGGCCATTGCATCATAAGCAATTTTCCCTGTTGACTCTCATACATCCCAGATTTCACTTGCAGATGCACCCAGTTCTTAATATGTTAAGAATGGTCTTCACAAAAATAAGATCAAATCACTTAACTTTTAAAGCTGGGTGATAGCTTGCATTTCTAATGCAATTGCAAACACAGTGTCATGAAAAAAAGTTTAAAGCACAGTGGTATCTTATATATCAGACTACAGAAAGGGCTGTCAGGCAAAGACAACCATCTTTCCTCTTTATGTCAAGTAATAAGGACACGTCCTTTGGAGAGAAAGCCAAAATTCAACTGTAGTGCTTCTGAGAACAGTGTAATGCGACTCTTGGTTACACTTCTCTGGCCTGCAGGAAATACCAGGCAATGGAATGGACTGCTCAAGACTTCATTTAGTATAAAATCAAGAAGATAAGGGGAGAGGAACTCAAAGTCAAGAGTCCTCCCAACTACACAACCTTTTATTGAGAAGTTTTCTATTACACAAGCAAAAGAAGATATTAAAAAGTATTATGAGATTTACACAAGACATCCTCTTTGTTGCAATGACCCTTCCCCATTTTATAACTACATTCTTACTGGTAATTTTGAGTTAATAAGAGAATGTTTTCTCTGAGGCATATTGCAGACATCCATTTAAAAGACAGGATGTTCTGACCTTGTGGGGACATGTTGACATTTATTAACTTACACTTTGTTCTGTTGAATAATTCACCATTTACTTAGAAATGTTTTCATGTTTTTTCACAATGTGCATGTTATAGGGTTTTCTTTTTAACAAAGTTTTCCCTGATTACATTTTCTTGACCCAAATAACCTCTGATTTTGTTAGTTTAATCTCTACAACTCTTCAGGACAAGAGACCCTTCAGTGCCAGCATCATGCGAAAGGACAGCATAGAGTACAGAGAAGAGCCTGATGAGAGGGTTATGTATATAAAATTGTACAAAAATGAAAAACTGATGTAGGCTTTGTGTCCTGGTGACCTAGGGGGTAGGGGTTGTTCTTCCAATCCCAAATGCAGACAGTTCAAATCCGCCAGATGTTCTGCAGGAGAAAGTTGGACAATCTCCTCTCATGCAATTTACAGCTTTTGAAAACCCACTGGACGGTCAGCTATAAGTTAGTTCTGATTCAACAAAGAGAAAGAGAAAGATCAAAAGTATGCCTAAATCAAGAAATATTTGAGATATTGTGTAACAGAACAAAACATTATCAATACAACAATTTTGATGTGAAGTTTATCCAGGATATGGAACAATGAGTTACTTCTTTTCCTAATATTTGCATCTCTTTTCATTTTTCACAGTTCTCAAAAATCTATGGCCCTGTGTTTACTCTGTATTTTGGCATGAACCCCACAGTGGTTTTGTATGGATATGAAGCAGTGAAAGAAGCCTTTTTTGATCAAGGAGAGTACTTTTCTGGAAGAGGCCATTTCCCAGTTGCTGAAAAAGCGAAGAGACAAAAAGGTAGGTGTGCACATTTATTTCTTCAGCAGTTGAAATGGAGAGTGAGTAGGACTCCACAGAATAGAAGGCAAAGCCTTTCCCATCTTTACCTAGGTCAGTGTCCTCTTCCTTGCCAAAAATCTCTGTTCTACTTCCTTTGACAGGAGTCATTTTCAGCAATGGAAAGACATGGAAAGAGCTTCGGCGCTTCTCTCTCTTAACTTTGCGGAATTTTGGAATGGGAAAGAGAAGCATTGAGGAACGTGTTCAACAGGAAGCCCGTACTCTCGTGGAGGAATTAAGGAAAACCAATGGTAGATGACTCTTTACTTTGTATCTCTGACCATAATAAACTCTTCCCATATTTTTCTTTTTGTTTAATGGTCCCAAAGCACCCCGTCCCAACAAAAGTCTTGGCCCAAAGACTCTTAGTTTTAATTCCATGAGTCAACAAGCCTAGTTGCCTGACAAATTTCCAAAAGCACTCGCTCTATCAGTATGCTTCCTGAACAAAGGTATTCAACTTTCTCATTGGACCCATGACATGGTTCAAATTATGTTTCTCAAAAATACATGTTTATGATAATATGATCAACTAAATAGTTGTAAAAGATTTTAGGGTGGAATGTAAACTCCCTTAAATTCTATCAAAACCCTAATAAGATGTAAAGGAGTACACTGTGGGCTCTGACACAGAGAATATTGTTAAGATGTATTATAATAGGAAATCACATATTCTCTTAGGCGTGACAAGATCTGAAGCCCATTTGTATGTTCACATAAAATCAATCCTATTGGCATTAAAGCCAATGCAAGCCTTAGCAATCAATCTAATAGTCATATCCAAACAATTTTTCCTGTTGTTGACACATGCTGTCAAGTCAGCTACAACTACCTGCAATGACCCTGTGAACAAATAACTCTGAACTCTGCCCTATCTTGAGCCATCCTCACTGTCTCTGACACGTCTATCACCTTTGCCACAGTTTCCGTGTCAATCCATTTCATCCAGGATCTTCCTCTCCTGTGCTGACCTTCCACCCGTCCAAGTATGATGTCTTTTGCCAAGAACTGGTAGCATGCCTAAAGTATGAGAGGAGTTTCGAAATCCTTGCCTCTGGGAACAACCTGGTTTCACCTTTTCCAGGACATACCTGTTTGTTCTCTTGGCAGTCCATAATATGTTCAGTATGCTTCTCTACCACCACAACTCAAAGGCATTGATTCCTCTTTTGTTATTCTTAGTCATTCATTGTTCACTTCTAAGATATATAACGACCAATAGAGAAGACCATGACCTGCATCAGGCTCATCTTAGTCTCTAGATTGACATTGTTGCTCTTTATCACTTTTGGGAGGTCCTTGGCAACAGACTTTCCTAAGCAACTTGTCTTTTGACTTCTTAACTGCTGGTGCCAAGAGTGCTGATCATGGAACTAAGTAAAATGAAATTGTTAGCAACCTCAATCTCTTCTTCATCGATCATAAAGCTGTCAATTGGCTCGGTGGTGCGAACCTTTGATCTCTTGACATTGAGGTGCAAACCATATTGAAGAGTGCAGTTCTCGACCTTCTGCAGCAAATACTTCAATTCCTCCCTAGATTTGGTGAGCAAGGTCGTGTCATCTGCATAAAGCAGGTTATTAATGAATCTTCCTCCAATCCTGATACTGCATTGTTCTTTATAGAGTCCAGCCTCCTAAATTATCTCTTCTGCATACAGATTGAAAAGACTTGGAGAAAGGACACATCCCTGACTCACTCTTGATTTTGAACCTGCGGTGTTTCCTTGCTCTGTCCACACAGACAACTTCCTGGGATTACCATTCTTCCCAGTGTTGAACACAATTTGTTGTAATCCACACAGTTAAATGCGGTTGCATAGTCAACAAAACACATTAGACATTCTTCTGGTACTCTCTGCTTTCAACAAGATCTATTCTGACATTGGCAATGAAATTCCTAGTTTCCCAGGCTCTTTTAAATCAGCTTGTATTTCTGGAAATTCTCAGTCGATGTACTGTTCTAATAATTTTTGGATAATCTTTAGCAATATTTTGCTTGCATCTGATTATTAGTGATATTGTTTGATAATTTTCACACTCTGTTGAATTGGCTTTTTAGAGGATGAGAATAAATGATCTCTTCCAGTCAGTTGGCCAGGTCTTCCAGAATTCTTGGGAGAACCTGCTGAGCACTTCTAGGGCTGCATCTGTTTGTTGAAATATACCAATGAGTACCCCATCAATTGCCGAGGCCTTATTTTTTTGTAAGTTCCTCAGAGCATCTTCAATTTCCTTCTTTATACCATTGCTTTTTGATCATATTGTATTTCATGAAATTGTTCTGTGTTGGCCAATTTTTGGTACAGTGACTGTGTATTCGTTCCATCTGATTTTGATGCTTCCTGGATCTTTCAATGTTCTGCCCATGGCGTCTTTTTTTTTTTTTTTAAAGCTTAAAGCAGCTTTATTAAGGGGGATCCCTGGTGGGATTCCTTGGTTTGGAGAGAGAGACAGGTCAGGGGAAAACCTCATATGGCGTCTCTAAGTATTACAACTTGAGGCTTGAAACAGAATGCTCTCAACAAACAGCAGTTCTTTATGAAATCCAACAGAAAGCTGTATACACATCAGACAGCGAGGTGTCTTATTTTCTTCTGATGCCTCTGGATTTTGTAGCTTGAAGATCTAGTTTAAATGTAATATTCTGTACTCGGTATCACAGTCTCTTAGGGCCAAGTGCCACGAGTCAGGATTTCTCAGGGAACACTGCTGTAAAACAATTTCAAGGTACACTCAATTATCTTTGGGACATTCATTCCCTAGATTAGCACACTGCTGTCCTTCATGGCCTTTTTTTCAGAGGGGCAGCCTCTGAATTATTAGATGAAAATTAGGGTGTTTCATCTTCAGATTGACACATTGGGGCTCTGGGTTTAACATAGCGTTTTATGATTATCATTAAATCTCTAGGCCTAATATAGCATCTGACGAGGGCTTTCCACAAGTTCTTCTCTTGGCCTTACCCATCTGACACATACTTGCTTGCTAACTACTAACATTCGAAACTTTATCTTTTCAAGATTCATTTTATATTTTTTATAATACACTCTTTAAAAAAACTTTTTTAAGAGTTTTTGTATAATTATTCATATACATCATGTTTTGTGCATGTGTTTTATCTTTCACATATCATTGTTACACCTTATATTTTATATAATTCATTCCCATTGCTCTATACCTATTATCACCTCATCTTTTCAAGTCCCTATTGAACATTTCCCATTTTTCCCCCCTCCTCCACCAACCAACCTCTGCTATTTCACTGATTTTCCCCTCCCCCATTTCTACTCCCCTTCTCTCCTTTCCCTTTTGAACATTCGCTTGCTCAGTTAGCCTCCTATTATCACAATAGTGACCTTATGCAATATTTGTCCTTATGTGACTATTTTACTCAGTATAATGTTCTCTTGTCTCTCCAAAGTTATATAGTGTTTTACAGAGTCGCTGTTCCTTAGTGCTACAAAATATTCCATTTTGTGTGTGTACTATGATTTCTCAATCTAGTCATCTGTTGATGGACATTTGAGTTATTTCCATTTCCTTGCTATTGTGAATAGCACTGCTATGAACATAGATG